ACGGTTGGCGCAGGCCGGGCCGCCGGCGGGTGGGGGTTTACCTTGATGCACCGCGACGCTGCAGCCGTGCCCGTCGCAATAAACCAGCGGGTTCTCGGCCCAGCCTCTCTCGTCAGAGCACACGCAACAGCCTCCAATCATCTCCTTCATACTATGGGAGACCTCGTCCTCCAGTGACACGGGCCGGTCGCTAGAGACCATCTAGGGGGAGGTGGGGCACGTTAAAACACGCAGCAGCAGCCCGCAGCGCGCCCGCCCCGCAGCCCGCCCGGCCGGCCGCTCACTCGCTGCGCAGCGCAGTCACTCACGTTCCTCCCCGGAGTCAGCAGCCATGTCCGGCCGACTCCTACCGGCGGCGAGGGCGGGGAGGGCGGCTTCCTCCTCCGAGCGTCAGCCGGCGTGCGCGCCCGCCCGCCCTGCTGCCGGTGTGGGGAGGCGGCCCCGAGAGGCGAGGCCTGCGTGCGCGCCGCCGCGTCCCCGCCGCCCCGGCCTACCTCCGGGCCTTCCCCTCCCCCGCGCCGCTCGGCCATGCAGTGGCCTGCGGAGGTGGGAGACCAACGGGGTGGGCTGCGCCGCGGTCGGCCTTCTGGCCGATGGACGGAGGACTAGGGCGCGGCGGGACGTTGGCTGGCCGCGGGGGCACCTGGGGCGCAGCGGCGGGGGCGCGGGGCTGCACGGTCACCTACCTGCCGGCCTGCGTCTCGGGAACTGGCCCGAGGGGAACAATGGTGCGGAGACCGTGCCAGCTTCCATGAAGGGTGTAATGAAGCATGGCTTCCTGCAGTCTGCCGCGCTAGCGCCGCGGCTCCGCCGCCCTTTAAACACATCCTGGATCCCGTGTTCGCGGGCCAGAGCTGGCCGCCCCCTTACTCGGCCTCGGCGACAAGTGAAAATGCGTCAGACGGGTCAAAAGTGTGTGCCAGGGTCACACTCAGAGGGGGAACCCCAGGACGACATCAAGCCTGCGGTGCAGCAGCACCCGGACGGGGAGGATTGAGCCCCCAGTGTAGTGATCTGGGAGGTGCAGTGACAGAGTAGGGGCAGGAGCCTGCGCTCCAGCCTGTCACCGAGGACGACCCCAGGGCGTGGAGCCCCCCTGGACTAGGGAGTCCTCTAGTCTAGCTTTTTTATAAACGTACCTTTGGATCCGCGTTGTCATTTAAGTGGGAACCCCACCCCCCCCACACACACACACAACTAGAAAATGGATTGGGCCTACGTGCGTGGATCAATTAGCTGTATACTGAGCAATTTTAAAGCTGTAAAATCTACTGTCTCCCTCTCCTTTACAGATCCGTGTATTACGCAATATTGATCTTAGTGAAAAGTGTTCAGTCATTAAAGTTTAGCATTAAACGTGAATTAGGGGTAGCTTGCTTAAATGACAGGTATACTTCCAAGGAGAATTCATGGCTTTTAGTTTCCAACTTGTAGGTATAAGATCTATTTACTAGAAATTAGCAACATGATTATCCAGAAAATGTACTTATACAGTGCTAAAAAATGGAAGAACACAAGTTCTAGGCAGTCCCGGAAAATATTGTATCTTAAGCTTTTAAAGCATTCAAAAAAGGTAATGTGGCTCTTTTTTCTATTTCAAATTAATTGCTAGAACTCTCAGAATAATAGATACATCACAATGTTAGAATATACTGGCAAATATATTCAAATGTTTTAAAAGCTATGAGATATCTACAGTAATGGTAAACTGACTAAAGCTTATGATAGAAAGTGTACTCTAAAGGGACACAGGGACAGAGATGTAGAAAAAGACACAAAAGTGAAGATTCCTTTTTAACAATATTAAGAAAGGACGACTAGGCGGGTGTGGTGGCACACGCCTTTAATCCCAGTACGCGGGAGGCAGAGGTAGGCGGATCTCTGAGTTCTAGGCCAGCTTGGTCTCCATAGTGAATCCAGGACAGCTGGGGCTGCAGGGAGACCCTGTCTCAAAAAGACCAAAAAAAAAAAAAAAA